TTTTTTACTACAGTAAAACTTGAATTTTAAACCGGAATCAATGGGGCCTATATGTATTTTGGTTAGTGTCTAGTAGATCACTGATGGTAATGGAGCAGATTACTCTAGTGTCCGTTATCCACAACCGAACAAAACATGTCTCGTTTGACGTTTTGACTGTCCTCTTACGTGTCAGAATTCTTAACATGCATGCGATATGGTCAAGATTTCCCTCTAATTTTGTCTTTCGAAGCGTGGTGTTTTTTTTTTTTTTTTTTTTTTTTTTTCCTTTATAATAAAAAGGAGATGAATACCGTTTACATGGAGGAAGAAAACTAAAAACTAAAAATATGACTCAAAATAGTACTAACATTCATGTTATTAAAGTGGCATAGTAAAAATATGTCTTTCATTAAACCAGAAAAAAATTTAAGGGGCATAAATATAAAGATAGTAAAAAAAATGATAGTTAAATACATAATTTTTCTCTTAAATAGACACCTTTTAATGTCTTGTCCTACAAACATTAGCCTCTTGATTTTTACCTTTTGAACTAGAATCAGTCAACGGTCATATGAATTACTGAAATTACCCTGATAGTCAAAAAAAGTAATCTTATAGATTACCGCTGGTAAATTACCAGATGCCACTAGAAGGCAATCTCATGTCACCGACATCGGAAGCTGGCTGTTGATTTTCGGCCGCCGTCTGCTACCAGTCGTCATCATCGCTAAAGAGTAATATGATAGGTTAGTCCTTACAATCTATTAAGGCCTCGTTCGTTTGTTGATTCAAGTTTAAAATTTGAGTTGAGATGTGATTATATGTGAAAACTTTTTACTGTAATAAAATTATTTATGATAATTTTTTACTATAACAAAATTTAAATTTTAAACTTAATGAGTAAAACGAACCAGTCTAAATTAACTTTTTATTATCAAACTAAAAAATGATTAACCACCTCCGATCTTTAATGTCGGTCACCGTCACCAATTGTCGGAGAGTAATCTCACCGTTAGTCGCCTTCACCAACGTCGGTTGCCAATGCTAGCTGACGCCTTTTGTCGGAGAGTAATCTGACCGTCTAAGATCACCCGCACCAGCCGCCAAAGAGTAATCTGGTTAATTATATGCCAAACTCTACCAAATTAGTTTTTTTAACTTTTAACTAAAAAATAATTGGAGGTCTCGGGTCGTCGCCACCAGTGTGAAGAGGAATCCGATAGATTGTTTTTCTCAATCTATTAGAAAACAAAGCGAATGAATCAGATCCAACCAACTCAGAGCTCAACAATGGCGAATCAGCCAGACAAACTACAATTTGTAGATCCGACAAACTCAAAAGCAGCTCGAAGGCGACGTCTGCGTTGTCCGTGCGATGACTTAAATCAGTAGATCCGACGCAATCTAATGATGAACAAAACAAGGACAACGACTTGGAAGAGATTTTCCTGGCGGCGACTTGGCTTGACCACACGAACCTCAGATCCACCACAATCTCACGGTGAGGAAGAACATAAAAGCACAATGACGGCGGCGATAAAGTGAGCAGATCTTCTTCCTGAATGGAGATCTGTCCAAGCCTCTATGACCTTGAACAGTGTTTTAGTCTTTTAAATTATGGTCAGAATATGTAAGGCAAGTCAAATGGGTAGAGTATTAGGAAAAAGGTCATATACCAAACTCATGTAAGTT